GCATACAAGTTTAACAATAAATGAATGAATGAATGAATGAATGAATGAATGAATGAATGAAGTACTCTTATTTTCTTCATTTTCTAATTAAGATAAAATCACAGTTTTATTAAACTAATGGAAAGCAAAAATACAATATTTTCATCAACATCCCTATTTCTGAGAGGAAGGGAATAGTATTGGGTATATAGGTTTCAAACGACAGGTTTGCCTGAAATAAAGGGATCCTCTGTATGAATGTGTGCTAGTCAATTGCCATGTTGGGTCAAACCAGTGGTGTACCCTCACTGGCCAACTAGATATTCAAGAATAAATAAAATAAATTAAAAATAAGTTATTTGTTGTATTGAAATTAATTAATAACAAATAAACATGCCTGACAATATTTATTATAAAAAGGACAAATAAATATTTTAATATTGTTTAGATCCTTTTTGGTACATTTTAAGTAATGTGCATCATATTTCAGTAAAGTATGAGTATTGCTTTTTGTTGTACTTTAAAAAACATATTGGGTTTATTTATTTTATTTATTTATTAACTGAGTAGCCATAGACCAAAGAGGGACTAGGTTTAAGCAAGGCATTTAACAATTCTTCTTTACATTTCTTTTGAGAATATTATGTAATTTGACATAGTGACCATGGATACCAAGCTAAATTCCTTATCTGCTATTTTGGTGCCTCCTTCACTTACAGTCTTTCCTTCTGACTATACAAACCCACGTAGGTACAGACTTCTGGATTCCTTGAATACCTTCTGGGTATAATGGCAGCATGATAGTGATGATGATGATGATGATGATGATGATGATGATGATGATAATAATAATGGTGGTGGTGGTGGTGGTGGTGATGACAATGACAACATTGACAACAGCAGCTGGAAGGAAATAGAGCAAATGAGTGATTGAGCCTATAGAAGAATAATAGATAGGCTCAAATAACAAGAAAAGCAGTACCCTGGAGGAATTCTGAATTATGGAGAAGATAGAGTTGTATGGTATAGGAAAAACAGTAGGAGCAGCTGGCGAGAAAGTTGAGAGCTGGAGCAACGGAGAAGATTAAAAATGCAACAGTTCTTTTCCCTCCCTAAGTATTGCCTCTTTATCTAATCGGCCTAGCTCTTTGCTTTGCTTTCTGTTATTTTCCTCTTTATTTTCCTCTTTATTTTTCTTTTCCTTAATTTTTCTTTTGCTCCTTGTTCAACTTTTCTATTAGTTCTTCTGCTGCCTTGCTTTTAACCTTTGCCTGCCTGCCTGCCTGCCTGCCTGCCTGCCAGATTCTCTTCTCCTTTCCCCTCCATACACCCCACTTCTTAAATAGATTGTTTGCATCTGAAGTTCACTGGTGTATCTTCTGGTATCAGTACTGTGACAGCACCAGTGATATATCTCATTATTTCAACTGTGCCCATTGGCCCAATTCTTCATATAAAAGTCTATATTTGTTGCTAATTTTCAGGAAACTCAAGTCTGCTCGGTACCTGGTCATGCAATAACATTTATATATTTGTTCATTTATTTATTGTATTGCTGTCCTCACTCCTGGTCAAATCAGCCAACAGCAGCTGCAACTAGTCAAGTAGTTCTTTGCATTCAAGTCAAAGTGCCTTAATACTTTACAGTTCATTCACATGTTGATTGAAATAGCATAGCATTGCATGTGTTAAGCGTGCTACTTCTGATTAAACTTCTTAATTTCAGGCCTACATGGAAGACCATTTGAAAAACAAGAATCGTCTAGAGAAAGAATGGGAAGCACTTTGTGCATATCAAGCTGAGCCTAATGCAACTACCATTGCACATAAGGAAGAAAATGTCCAGAAAAATCGCTCTCAAGTTGTAGTAGCATGTATGTATAGTTTAAACTAAGTGATTTACTTGCTGCTTTCCTCTTTATCTACTATTGAATGTTTTTGTCATCTGTGTGGGACAGGTAAAGAAATGAATTAGTCACTCCATACTAGAGTAACTTAACAATTGATATTTTCTTAATATGTTACAGTACATTGCCATGAGCTTCACATCTTTTACATTGGGTGCAACTTACAAAATACATTTTTGTTTTTCACTATTTTGATTATAGCAAGTAATGTTTTGTGCAGCTTTGTGTAAAGGCATTCATTCCATTATGGTATGCAAATTTATGTTGGCCATTCATCTTTGGAGATGCAGTACTTGCACCTACCAGAAAAAATATCTAATTCTTTCAGCTTGCAATTAGAACTGCTTAGACATCTTATACTCATTTAGAGTAAATAAATTGCTGTTGGCTTTCACAGATAAGCTTACAAAGCTTCTATTCTCTGTTCTGGGTTAATAAGAAAGCACAGCCATCTAGGTATAGACATTTCTAGAAAGCTTTTTATGTCTAAAAGCACCATATCTCGCTTCCAAATAGGTAACGGTGATTCCATTAGCTGCATGACACTTTCTCTGCTGTATGTCAGACTACTGAATACTGAATCTTAAAATATAAAAAGTGCTGTATTTTACAATAGTGCAGATTAACTATGGTATTGGGGTAGACATTTTTTAAAATTCTAAATTTCATTGCTTACAATAGTCGCTTAAGTACTGGTTTAAGAGAAAATATAGAAGGATGGTATAGGCAGGACTGTTAATGATTTTATTAACAGTCACTCTGGAGTTGGGTAGTGCCAGAATCAAATCAATTAATTAATACATTCTGAATTTGAAACATAGTCTGATCAGTGAAGAGAATATTTGGTTTTTAGTGATACC